CCGCGGTGCACCGCCAGAAACAGCAGAATCCTTTGGAGAAGGATTAGCCTGAAATTTTACTTTATACCAAGAACGTACCAGTACCAACGTTTTTTTTTATTATTTAAAATTTGCAAATTACACTGTGGGTAAATTTTCAACTCTTGAAATATCTAAACGCTCGCACACGTAAACATAATTTAAAAGTTTTTCCTATCAGATATCCGATCCAGGGACACACTGTATACTTGTGCCAACATTCCTATGCTTTTTAGTTCAATTAATATAATATCCTCAATTACACTTAATAAAAAAAAATTTGAATTTCCTAAACTATCTATAAAAAACCCTCAGGGACACGTGTTCCTTTTGATCAATTAACTTTAAAATTTGTTTTTTTTAAATTTGAAACTGATGTGTGGGTCCAGCCAAATTGATTTTTTTTTAAATTTATACAGGGTGTTTCCAATATCTTTGAATTTTCACATGATAGAGCTAAACCAAACATGGATTTGTAATCTACGATCAAGCGTTTAGCTGTGATATTTTCACCTCCCTACAGTGTTATAATTCCAAGTTTATTTTTGTTAACAATTATTACTTTTGTTTTATAAGTAAAATATTTTGTATGTATTTTTATTATGATTTACCAAATAAATATAAATATTTCCACAACAATCCTATTTACTCATTCTAAAAATGTTTCCTTACGTGCCTTTACGTAGAATCCTTTGAAGAAGGATCAACCTAAAATTTTACTTTATACAAAGAACGTACCAGTACCAACTTTTTTTAGTATTTAAAATTAGGAAATTATTATTCAGTTGCAAGTTTATTTTTGCTAACAGAATTCATATTTTTGTTTTATAGTGAAATATTTTGTTTGTATTTTTTTATTATGATTTACAAACACAAATAAACAACCATACCAATGTGGGACTTGAACATACGACCTTTCGGCTTGTATTCAGCAGCACTGACCACTAGTCTACCGCCGCAAAACCGGTTATCAAACCGTTATTGTTTGATGGCAATTTTAAGGAATATTTTGTGTTTGTGACTCAGCCGATCAAAAAGCACATTTTATGAATATTCCTGACAGTTTGAAATATTTCTGGATTCTGTAAGGATTAATCCTCAATTGAGACTTTGCGATTTGGGCTAAGATGTCTGCATATGGAAAACTTGTTAATTATTAATAAAGGTTACTCTTTATAAACCATTATGTTGAAATAGCATGTACACTGTATATTGTACAGGGTGTTCATAAAATAGAATAATCTATAAATGTCCCAAGAGATAACTTTTTGTTAATTTTACGAAAAAAGTTACTTGTTATAAAAAGATCTGCTCGTATAAAATTAATACATGGTGATCATAAAATAAGATTATAAATGGTCCAAGATAGAACTTTTACAACAAAACTCTTTTAAAAAGGTCCTGCTTTCTGAAAAATAATAATAGACTTTTAAAACCTCAAATATCATGTAGAGTAGACTGGGCCAAAAGAATCGACTATTTTTTTTAAGTATATCGAAAATATTGTTTGGGGTGACAAAAAAAAATTATGGTGAAAGTTTGAGTCCATAATATTAATATTAAGAGGTCTATCATCGCAATTTTAGATTTTTGTCTCAGAACTCCCAAATCATTGAGTTTAACAAAATTGACTTAGGAATATTTTTTGAAGAAAATTAAATGCTGTACAAAAAAGGTTTGATTGGAATTTCCCGTCAGATGAACCGTTTTCTTACAATCATGCCTTAAAAATTGGTATAGTTTTACAATTTGATCTTTTAACTTTGGAGTTTTGTAATTCATGTAAAAATCAGTACCCTGAAAAAAACGATAAATATTCTTATGGAAAATCAAATGCTCTACAAAAAAAGTCTTTTATCATTTTTGGCTAAATTCACTCCATCAAAAGTTATTCAAGAGTAAATTTAAGTCAAAACGAAATTTTAACCTTGAATAACTTTTGATTGATTTAATTTAGCCAAAAATGATAAAAAAAAAATTTGTAGAGCATTTGATTTCCCATAAGAATATTTATCGTTTTTTTCAGGGTATTGATTTTTAGATGAATTACAAAATTCCAAAGTTAAAAGATCAAATTGTAAAACTATACCAATTTTTAAGGCATGATTGTAAGAAAACGGTTCATCTGACGGGAAATTCCAATTTAACCTTTTTTGTAGAGCATTCAATTTTCTTCAAAAAATATTCCCAAGTCAATTTTGTTAAACTCAATGATTTGGGAGTTCTGAGACAAAAACTCGCTCAGGAAAAAAAAATCTAAAATTGCGATGATAGACCTCTTAATATTAATATTATGGACTCAAACTTTCACCATTATTTTTTTTGTCACCCCAAACAATATTTTCGGCCCAGTCTAATGTAGAGTGTACATTAGGGTGTTCCAAAAAAAGTCGATAATTTTTTTTTTCGATTGCACGTGAAATTCTTGTTATATATGCTATAAAAAAATCTGTAAAAATTTGAGCCCTTAATATCAACTTGAAGAACTCCATCATCGAATTTTAAGATTTTCCATTGATTTAACATGGAAAAATGATTTTTAACCTTCATTTTTCCTGCAAACTATGTAGAACATTATTTTTCGGAAAAACCATCACTGATCCTTCTTCAGCATTAAATTCTGTAAAAAAAAGTTCTTAGGGTCCAGTCTCTAACGTCAACCCTCTCGTTTTTATTTGCGTTGAAAAATATAGATTTTTTGAAATTTCGATTTTTTCCATTTAATGTGTAAAATTTTGATCTCAGACCATAAAGTTTGAGAAAATTTTAGTAGATCGTTCAATGTTTCACAAATCTGTGCCAAGAAAATTTTTTGTATCACTTTTGGCTCCAAAATTGTGAGTTTTGTATTATCTTTTTAAATGATTATTCGCTCATAATAAATTTTACAAAAAATTTGAAAATCTATCAACAAAATATAAAAATTTCTTTATAACAGTCAACAAAACGCTGAATTTACGCTTCAATTCTTTCAATTTTATTATTTTTTCCATTTAATATAACAGTTTTTGGCTGTAACATATAATTTACACACAATTTTTAAATTTTTTAAGAATTTTTCCAATTACAACAGTTAATAGAAAGAAAAAAAATTCCTTTATCTGCAATTCCTGTAATAAGCCGGTTACCCAAAAAACAAAAACAATTGTTTCTTTAAAATATATGTGATAAATGCCAAATTTTTATTTTGTAATTTTTTTTATTTGCATTCGAAGTCCAAATCAATATTATCCTATAACAATTGAGATATAACTCGATTAATTTTCAAATTTGAATTCGAATCTTTTTCAGAATTTGTTACTAGCGCCACGGCGAAGATATTGTGATTCCCAAAACTGGGCTTTGTTTTAGTCTCTGGTGGGCTCTATTTTTAAATTGTAATTACGTTTGATAAAGGTTAGGTAATCAACTATTATTTTATTACTGCATTCAGTCAGTTAATTACTTACGTAGCCATGTCGGACAAAACGCAACAATTGACTTATATTAATTTAGTAGGATTTGAATCTAAAAATTTGAACAATCATATATTACCTAAAAATCGTGATGTACTATCTTTTTTTTATTATCAACATCGTACGTTGAAACTTAATCTTTGCGAAAGTAAAATTTATTATGATAGCGAATAATAATAATAATAATCATTTAAAAATATAATACAAGACTCACAATTTTGGAGCCAAAAGTGATAAAAAAAATTTCTTGCCACAGATTTGTGAAACATTGAACGATCTACTAAAATTGTCTCAAACTTTATGGTCTGAGATCAAAATTTTACACATTAAATGGAAAAAATCGAAATTTCAAAAAATCTATATTTTTCAACGCAAATAAAAACGAGAGTGTTGACGTTAGAGACAATTGACTTATATTAATTTAGTAGATTTGAATCTAAAAATTTGAACAATCATATTATACCTAAAAATCGTGATGTACTATCTTTTTTTTATTATCAACATCGTACGTTGAAACTTAATCTTCGAGAAAGTAAAATTTATTATGATAGCGAATAATAATAATAATAATAATAATAATCATTTAAAAAGATAATACAAGACTCACAATTTTGGAGCCAAAAGTGATAACAAAAAATTTCTTGCCACAGATTTGTGAAACATTAAACGATCTACTAAAATTTTCTCAAACTTTATGGTCTGAGATAAAAATTTTACACATTAAATGGAAAAAATCGAAATTTCAAAAAATCTATATTTTTCAACGCAAATAAAAACTAGAGGGTTGACGTTAGAGACTGGACCCTAAGAACTTTTTTTTACAGAATTTAATGCTGAAGAAGGATCAGTGATGGTTTTTCTGAAAAATAATGTTCTACATAGTTTGCAGGAGAAATGAAGGTTAAAAAATCATTTTTCCATGTTAAATCAATGGAAAATCTTAAAATTCGATGATGGAGTTCTTCAAGTTGATATTAAGGGCTCAAATTTTTACAGAATTTTTTTTATAGCATATATAACAAGAATTTCACGTGCAATCGAAAAAAAAAATTATCGACTTTTTTTGGAACACCCTAGTGTACATGCTATTTCAGGTTTTAAAGGTCTATTATTATTTTTACACTGTCATTAAGTAGGATAATTTATAATTGACCCTACATTTTTATTTTAGAGAATTAAAAGTTATATTATTGTTTAAACCCTTTGCCTTCTATTTTTTTGGTTTTCGGTGTTTTTAATAATAATGTGGTTTTTATTATGGTTCATATTTTATTGACAATTTATAAAATCTCTAAGTATATATTTTAGATAACATTAAAGTAAAGTAAAACTAGAGGGCTAAATAGTCTTTTTATTGAAATTAATATTCTTTTAAAACAAATTTGGTATTATTAATATTAACTTAATTAAACCTTTGTGATGACAAATACAAAATCAACTTAATTTTATTTTTAATCTTAACAGTGTTTGAATTTATTTCAAAACAAGCATTTTTTTCAATGAAAGGTTAATTAAAACAATTTTCAGGTAAAAACGGCTCTTTTATTCGACGCCATAAACTTATTTATCAACTCCTTTGCTGCCATGGAAGAAATAGGGGAAAAGTTGCCAGTAAAACAACTAAGCTGCAATAGATACGACATCGCGTCCCACGGCAACGATTTGTCAGCGTTTATTCACAGGGTAATAATATCGCACACCCCTAACCATAAACAAATATTTACATAAAAAAGTAATTAAAAAACGCTAAACTCTAAAGCAAACGTGTAAATTTAACGAAACGAGGGAATCATGCTAACAAATTTTGCTTAGCTTTTAAATACATGGAATGTTTGATTTATAGTGGCAAAATAATCGATCCACACAAATTTTCGATGAATTTCAATCGCAAATAACTTTTTTATTTGATTTCGGATTTAAACAAATATTAAAGAATATTGTAGATACATTAATGGAGAATCGCTCACATTTTAAAAATTACTAAAAAATACACGTACGTTTATAATATACAGGTTTAAACAAAAATATGTTTTTTACGATAAGTTTAAGACACTCTGTGGAGTGGCAAAACCGTATATTGTTCTAAATTAAGTTTTAATTATCAAGTCACATCTATTTTTAACAGTTTTGTTTTTGGTTTACCTTGATATACTTATTTTTGTGGAAAATATGGATTTTTTTTAAAAAACATTGCTATTTCCAATATTTTCTTGTATGAAGAACTAAGGTTCATAGCCTATGAAGCATGACAATGATAGTTTTGTTGAATCATCCCATACTTGGACATGTAATATACATCTTTCAAAAGCTATCAAACTCTTTTTTGTAAATTAATGTGTTAATTTTGAGGTGTCTTCTTACTTTTAAAAATGTCTCCGACTGATGTTTCCCTTTGTACTTTACTTCTTGTGACGTTTAAAACACTTGCCACGTAATACTGTGACCGTCCATCCTGGATTAAATTAATGCCGGATTAAATTAATGCAACATCAGTCGAAGACATATCCATTTTTTAAAATAAGAAGACACCTCAAAATTTAAACATTAATTTGCAAAAAACAATTTGATAGCTTTTGAAAGCCGTGTATGACTTGCCCAAGTATGGGATTATTCACAAACTGTCACTGTTATTTTCCATAGCCTATGGATGGACCATAGCAACCTTAGTTCTTCATACAGAAAAATATTGGAAATAGCAATGTTTTTTTTTTAAATCCATATTTTCCACAAAAATAAATATATCGAGGTGAACCAAAAACACAACTGTTAACAATAGATGTGACTTGATAAATAAAACTTAATTTAGAACAATATACGGTTTTGCCACTCTACAGAGTGTCTTAAACTTGTAAACTGGTAAACTGGTAAAAAACATCTTCTTCTTTAAACCTGTATATTATAAACGTACGTATATTTTTTAGTAATTTTTTAAAATGAGATTGTCCATTAATTTATCTACAATATTCTTTAATATTCGTTTAAATCGGACATCAAATAAACAAGTTATTTGCGATTGAAATTCATCTAAAATTTGTGTGGATCGATTATTTTGCCTGTGAGTGTATGTTGCACAAAGAAAATTCCTAATTGCTTTGTTTTTTAGGAATGTAGTAACAATTTAACTGAAAATCCAATGTTGGACCTCAAGGTATGTTTTGGAAACTATGAAATTAAATAAAGTTAATATTTCATTTTGCAGATGTGTAGAAACATTAATGTTACCAATAATATTTTTGCAATCCCTGTAAGTATTAAATTTATTTTGCAACGATTAGCATGTATTTTTACTATGGTAAAACTGATAAAGTCAATTTAGATTATTTTGAAAATTATGTTATTATGATCCTTTTCAATATTTTTTCTGCTTAAACAAGAGGTTTTTATATTTATATTAACACGTTGATGGACATATCGATGACTTTCTGCCAAAGTATCGCAAGCAACATAACTCAAATTTCGGGAATTGAAAACATGTTTTGTTTTAAAGTCTGTTTTAAATTAAATATAGCCTAAAGGTTTTATAACAAGTAAATAGCTTATACTTATAGCTATTTACTTGTTATAAAACCTATAGGTTATATATGGTTTAAAACAGACTTTAAAACAAAAAATGTTTTCAATTACCGAAATTTGAGTTATGTTGCTTGCGATACTTTGGCAGAAAGTCATCGATATCGTCTATGGATTTCTAATGTTTACGTATATAGACGACATTCAAAATATAATGATTTGTGACAAAACGTCGGTGGCTCGGCTCTCAGATGTAAATACCATATGAACAAAATATGGTCCATCAACATCCACCCTTTGGGCACGTCCACATTTTGGGCATGTAGGGTTTTACCAAAAATACACTTCTTTAATATTGATCTTTCTTTTCAGAAGAAACCACTATTTGCTTTGCCTACATGTAGGCAAAGCAAATAGTGGTTTCTTCTGAAAAGAAAGATCAATATTAAAGAAGTGTATTTTTGGTAAAACCACGGCAGTACATAATCGAAATCGTAATTTATTTGAGAAACCCCACATGTCCCAGACATGTGAGGTGTCTAAAATTCAGTAAACATTTAAAAATTTGAACCCTAGAAGAAAAAAGTGAACCGTTCAAAAGTTTACAGATAATTATGTGTGTGTGTGTGGGGAGTGGTTTGGCATTAGATTAAAATTCCTTGCCACAGTATTTATTAAATATTATATCATATTATTCAACATTAATAGTTTTATACAATATCAATATCTATATTTCTAAAAAAATTAATAATACTGTCAAGGATTTATCATTCAGACCTAATTGGTGTGTGATAGGGGTGTTAATCCCGGGATCCCAAAATCCCAAAATCCCGGGGTCCCGGGATCCCGGGATCCCAAAATCCCAAAATCCCGATCCCAAAAATCCCGGGATCAAAAGTCCCAATCCCAGGATCGTAGTAATGTTACAAAGAATAAAATATACTTTTTTTTTCAAGCGTATGATAATTTTTATATTATAATACTCATAAGCATATAGAAATACCTAATTTTTGTACGCAGTTCAAAAGTCAAAATATTATGCACCGCCGTACAAATTACAGGTCACTGTAGAATAAATTCATGTTCATAATCTATAAATTATAGGTTATGAACATGAGTTAAAGGCTACATTTTTTAAACGTCAAACCTGAAAAAATGTTACAAACTGGGTAATTTCAATGTAAGTTACAGCCTCAATTGGAACTCCAGGGCCCGATTGATAAAAGAAATGGAATTATTTGTTAATGGCGGTAAACTTGAGTACAATGTGCCTACGAATTCTTGAAAACCATTCCTTCAACTAGTGTGCGAACTCCAAAAGAAATCGTTCGTTATTTTGTTGTTTCTTTATTTTAAATTGGTTTTAAAATTAAGGATATATATTTTTTCGGGACTGATCCCGGGATCCCGGGATTAGTTACCTTTGGTCCCGAAAGTCCCGGGATTGGAAAAAGGACTCGGGATTGATACCCCTGGTGTGTGATATTGATTGAAAGTTGGAGATTAAAATTTATTAATTGGTCTAATTGTTCTTTAATTTGCTGTGTGTGGTTATTGCTTAAAAAAATATGATTTATATCACAATAAGATAGATTGTCACATGAACAATTAGGGGAATCCTTTAAATTTATTTTGAACAAGTGAGCGGGAATCATATCATGATTAAGTTTTAATCGGGTTATAGTGGTTGAATAAAATTTACTTACATTATAATTTTGGATAAGTGGATTTTTACTATTTCTTTCCAAAGATTTAAAAATATCGGTTATGTTTACGAATTTTATTTCATGTTCAGAATTGAATGCTTTGGCGAGTTGGTCCGCTTTTTGGTAACCTGATTATGTGAGTATAACACACCCTTTACATTTAACTTTTAAAACCCACTCCAAAGCAGGCTCAATTGCTGGAGCTTCCGCGGTGTAAATAGAATTGGCCCTATTAATTCTTTGACTTTCACAATGCTTATATAAAGGGACGTAAAAAGCACAAATATTAGCATTCCGTTTTGACCAGTCTGTGAAGATGTGAATTTAATATATTTTTATTGATTTTTTATATTCCGAATATTGTGGTAGAATAACATAATTCTGAGATAATATTGCCTTCTACTCTATTTGAAATATAGGGTGAGTTTTATTGGTTTATTGGCAAGTGGTGGACTACTTTTAATTAGGTTTTCTGTATATAAATCATAACGCAGAACATAAGCTTGCGCAAAGCACCCCTTTGCGCAAGCTTATGTTCTGCGATCTGCGACCTGCGACAATTGTAGACCCGGCTTTAGTCATAAACATAGCGATGTAGCCCACAGTGCCTATTCAATTAAAAAATATTAGAACGGTCTTGTGCAGTTATAAAGTAAAAAAATAATTTTAAACATTCTGTGTATCAGTGTAAATTTATATTATATGGCATTTTACAAGCGCTGAGCCGCGCCGGTGGATTTGTATGAGAGTTAAGAAGAAAAAGCTTCTTAGACAGCAGAAAGCGTAACTTTATAAAACTAAATTAATTTATGCTACTGGCATGTTTTACCAAACAGAAACACACACTTCATGTACCTACCTACGGACATTATTATATAAATTAATACAATTGTAGGTATGAAATCTCATATAGTATAAATTTGTAAAAACATTGTAAAACATAAATTTAAATTAATTATTCTTATTAGCCAGTAACATATTTATTTCTCAGTCGAAATCTTCAAAAAAAAATATTTGTAATTACTTTGTTTATCTTCTCGGCTTTTTGGGGTTTTACCATAGTATTTGGTTACTCAAAAACCTTTCCGTAGTTTAATTAAACTGTTCAATAAAAAATTAAACAGTTAATAATAATTATTAATCATTTTTTAGTCTTATCCGAGAAAAGAACGTTTACCGGGACCTCTCTCAGGACTTTTGCAATTCGATGAATATGGGCAAAGGAATTATTACCAATTGCAGATAATAGAATTGGTAAATTCTGGATTTAGGGTAACGAGTACATGGAATCCAGATGTTCCAGATAAGTTATATGAAACTGTAACCACCGAAGAAAGAGAAAAGGAATATGAAAAACAACTTACACAAAAAAACTTTAGAGTTGTATCCAGGTACCCTGGTAAACATCTGCATATTATTTCAATAAAATTCTATCATAATAAATTACAAATTCCATAAAATCAGTGTTAAGGTGTTTTAGATTTTTTATATATTGGTAAACCAATTTTACTTAATTTATGCGTAATCAAAATCCATAAAACTTTTAAATACATTTTCTAATAAATTATAAAGTTAATTAGTTAAACGATTTTACGTAATTTGTTGTGGGTTTTACTCCTTGAATAAGCATTAAAAAGTTATTTTATAATTTAAATATACAATTACAATTGTATGAGGAAAAAACATTGTTTAATCTTGCCCCCACATAGATTATTTTTGTATATGATTATTAGGGTGGTTCTTATTTGACCGATGTCAAAATTTTAATCGTGCCACCCCCTCATTTGTTTTTAAAAAATATTAAAAAAATGTATGCCAAATTTGAATGTCCTAACTTATTTCCTTCTATTGCCTGTAACAACGAGAATTTTTCCAGATAGAGGATTTTTGCCTTCAATGTATTAATTTTTTTAAATTACTATTAATCTATGAAAAAGTATAATTTTTTAAGAAAATGTAGAGGATATAAGTTACTTTAAAACAAAACAAAATCATGTAAGGTCTTTTTTACTTCGCTCGATTATTACTCACAGTTTTTCACACAGATTTTTGCTTTAAAACGCAATAATTTTATAAAATCATTAATAATTAATAAATAATTTAAATTTTTAAGGAAATGAAGGGAAAATATGGTAGTTAAACAAAAAAAAAAGAATTCATGTATGTCCATAGTGAGGTCTTTTTTACTTCATTCAATTATTACCTATTATTGTTATTTTATTGAAAATGGCATAAAAAACTAAATATCATCAATTTGCATTTAATTCATAATTAGTGTGTTTTAAAACGTAATTTTGTACTTTTCTAATGTTGATGCTACCTAAATATCTTTTAGGCAATCTTAAATTATTTGTTTTGTAAAAGATATTTAGGAAGCACCAACATTAGAAAAGTACAAAATTACAATTATGTAAATAATGAAATTGATTTTTAGATTATTTTCGAACAATTTATTTTTAAAGAAAGTAACATAGTTAAAATTGCAAATAAATAAACAAAATAAAACCCAGATAATTAGGTTTTTGGTATTTTAAAAATTGTTTACAACAGTCTTTTTTTTTGCTTTTCGAAACTCTGACACAAGCTGTATAATATTATATTATAACAACAGCAAGAAGATTCTTTCAGCGATGGGATATCGATGACACTTTTTTAAAAATCGACCCGACTATGTGGCCTCAGGTACGAAAATTATCAAAACGGTTTAAAAACTGTAACTCACCTGAGAATCGTTAACGATGCTGCCGAAAGAGCTGTGCATTTATTTGACGAGTATAACTCCATCATAACACACAATGAAGACCACAAACAATTTGTTGAAAAGCCTTTCCCGACGCAAAAAAAAGACAATTTTTAAAATACCAAAACCTAATTATCTGGGTTTTATTTTGTTTAATTTTTTGCCATTTTAACTATGTTACTTTCTTTAAAAATAAAGTTTTCGAAAACAATCTAAAAATCAATTTCATTATTTACATAATTGTAATTTTGTACTTTGTTAATGTTGGTGCTCCCTAAATATCGTTTAGGTAATCTTAAATTATTTGTTTTATAAAACAAATAATTTAAGATTGCCTAAAAGATATTTTGGTAGCTCCAACATTAGAAAAGTACAAAATTACGTTTCAAAGCACACTAATTATGCATTAAATGCAAATTATCACTGATATTTTGTTTTTTATGCCATATTCAATAAAATAACAATAATAGTAATAATTGAGCGAAGTAAAAAAGACCTTAGGATAAACATACATGTATTCTTTTTTTTGTTTAAAAGTACCATATTTTCCGTTCATTTCGTCTAAAAATTGGAATTGTTCATTAATTATTAATGATTTTATAAAATTATTGCGGTTTAAAGCAAAAATCCCCTATTTGAAAAACTGTAAGTAATAATCGAGTGAGGTAAAAATACATGATTTATTTTTTTTTGTTTAAAAGTAACTTAAGTCCTCTACATTTTCTCAAAAAATTATACTTTTTCATAGATTAATAGTAATTTTAACTAAAGGCAAAAATCCTTTATCTGGAAAACTTCTCGTTGTTACAGGCAATAGAAGGAAATAAGTAAGGACATTTAAATTTGGCATAATTTTTTTTATATTTTTAAAAACAAATGAGAAGGCGGCACGATTAAAATTTCGACATCGGTCAAATAAGAACCACCCTAATGATTATGTACCGAATTTGAACCCTCTAGGTCGCCATTTACTGGTCGCCCAGAAGGTAATTAGCTCGGTATCCGGAAAATTTATCGCCAGCAAATTACCGTTAGCAATTTACCGCCAGGTATTTACCGCCAACAGTTTACCGCCTCAACTGTTTATCGCCGAAACAATTTACCGCCAGCTATTTATCGTAGAAAAAATTTATCGACAGAAATTCACCGTTAGCAATTTGCCGCCCGGTATTTAACGCAGCAACAGTTTACCGCCAGCTATTTATGGGGCGGTTGGGTTGTGTTGTTGAGTTTGGGTTGGTTTGGTTTTTTTTCTCTCATTTTTGACCATTTGACCAATGGGGCGGGGGGGGGGGTCAATGGGGTGGGGTCGGTAGGGTTGTGTTGTTGAGTTTTCTAACAAGGAAGCGTTAAAATTTTGCCTATGATTCATTTTAAAAACGTTAAAATGCACAAAACAAATCCGGTTAGCTGGCGGTAAACTGTTGCTGCGTTAAACTGTTGAGGCGGTAAATACCTGGCGGCAAATTGCTAACGGTGAATTTCTGTCGATAAATTGTTTCTACGATAAATAGCTGGCGGTAAAGTGTTGCGGCGATAAATTGGTGCGGCTATAAGTTGCTGGCGGTAAATTGCTGGCGGTAAATTGCTGTCGGTAAATTGTTGACGATAAATTTTCCTAGACCCAATTAGCTCATAAGCTCATTCTGTGATAGTGACATTCACTTAATTTAGTGTTTTTTGTTTTTTTTTTTCGAATTTTATATGGACTGGGTAACAAAAAGTTATCTTTTTAATTTAGTATTAATGCAACCAAATTTTGGATAATATCTTCAGGTGCCTAGTTGAGGTGAAAAATGTAAAAATTTTTAAAATATATCAAATTAAAAGTGAGTGATTTTGCTTACCTGCATTTATTAGAATAAACATAAAGCTAATTTTTGCTTCAAAATTAAATTATTTTTATTTATTCTATCAGACAAAAAACTAAATTATTGGTATAAAGAGATTTATGTTTATATTCATTTGTGTACATGCTTTACTACTGTATAAGTATAATGTCGACGAGATCTGCTCCAACTAACTATCTTCCAGAACAGACAATTTAAAGTTTTTATACAGCACGACATCCTCGCGGATTAGAATATCCCCGAGTAGTTTAATTTCACCATTTATAAGAGGGCAAAATTTTGACAGTAATTTAAAAACAGACGTGTGAAGCAGTTTTGACTATTTGGCAGCATGCCAGGGCCCTGCAGGGAACCTACGCACAGAGAATATATATTCTGATCTCGAAGATTTGTTTAATATTGCTGCGAAAGAAGCTCTGTCTAAAATCAAGAATGTTGATGACAACGTTTTCCTTCAAAAGCAAAGAGAATATTTTTTATGTAGCATGAGTTACTCATGCTGGCCTTAAAACTACAGCAAGGAATAATAGAAAGAGACAGCGGGAAGAAAACGAAAAAAGTTCAAAAATAAATAACTATGCAGAAAGGGAGAGTAAGGATACGTCTGGGACAATTTCACAACAATCTACGACTTCTTTTTAAAACTCTAAAAGAGAAGTATTAGCTTGGTTTATGTTAGATATTATACTGAAGCTATTTTTGACGACAGAGTATCTACAATAACTAAAGAAATGATGGTTAAAACCCAAAGCGTCCAAAATTGCATGATTGTCCACATGGCAATGATTAAACTAATTCCTTATTATTAAAGTAAAATGCAAAAGAAAAGAATTTATGAAATTACAACCATCTGATCAAGGTTTTCTTAAAATTTAGTCATATGTTTTTAATGATACTTCCAAACGGGGAATCAGTCAAACTTTTTAAAAACTATGGAATAGCTGGTGGACAAATTTATTAAGGACGGGGCACTAAAAAGAATGCTCATGAATCCTTATCAACACGCCTACAGGACCGCCATATCGACAAAGACCGGTCTTCACAGCCTTGTGACAAGGTTGGAGAGTGGGACCCGTCCCAAAGAGATGGTTCTGGGCACGTTTCTAGACATCGAATGAGCATTGAACAATACCTCCTTTGAGTCAATAAATGAAGCCGCAGAGGGCTTTTGCATGGAGAACACCATTGTCAAATGATTTGAAGTACGGAGATTAACTCAACCATAGCCAGAGGCTGCCCATAGAAAGGCGTACTATTGCGCTTGCTATCGTGCCTAGTGCTGTATAGGCTACTCCTTATCCTAAATGAACGTAAATACAATGGAAGTAAGAGTGGTGCAACGATCTTGATCTTGATCTTGTTCAATCCGGATGAGACCGAAGTGGTACCATTCACCAACCGAAAATATGTGAACCTGGAAGGGCTCACAAGAGCGTGTATGCATGTATTAAGACTGACCCTATGCAAATCGGTCTAATATCTAGGAGTTATCATTGGCTCTAGGATGACGTGAAAGGATCAGGTCACCAGGGCCGTCCAGAGGACCACTGTGTCTATGGACTTGCAGACCCACCTGGGGATTACATATATAGCAGTAATAAGGTCAATGATCACTTATCTAGTATGGTGGAACGCGCTAAGCAAATCCCCCTACAAGAAAAAGCTAGATAAGCTCCAACGAATAATCGGAGCTTTTAAAACCACTCCAACTCTGGCAATGGAGGCCATACTGGGACTAACGCCTATACATAAATTGTAGGAAAAGAGGTTTCACTTGTTCGATATTTCGAATTCTTGCCTCAAGGATTTGGCGCCCCCAAGAAACTTCCGCCCGGGGCAAGTGCTCCGGTTTGCCCCCCCTAGATCCGGGGCTGGGTTTGGGAATTCTCGGTCAGACTCAACGATTGGGGACAATGGGCTCACAGAGGGAAGAATTCTGGGGCATACAAGGGCCTGGACTGACACTATCAACCGGGACCCCCTTCTCACAAGAAGGTATTCCAACCCCCCCTTAAAGGATATAAAGTCGTTTTCCCTTTAAGACATGACTGGAGCGAGCCTGACCCAGGCTTCCTCAAACCAAAGGGGCTCATATGGTACACGGTATCGCATGAATGGAGGTGAAGGAGCTGGTAAGCTCAACAAGTTCAGCTCTGTCTGGGTACCGCGTTATCAAGGTATCAAAGGCAACGAAGAATTAGATTGGCTAGCTCATGAGGGCAGGAACCCTGCCTTTATAGGGCCAGGACATACTATAAGGGTTGCCTCCTGTCTGGTGAAAGCCAAGATCAGGATCTGGACTAACAACCAGTTCCAGAACAAATGACGAGAACAACAAGGGCTCAGACACTCAAGGGTCTTTATAAATGGTCCTACTAACTGCAGAGATAAAAAATATTCCTGAAACTAAATAGGAACCAGCTAAAAGTCATCACACGGACCCTAACAGGACACTGGGTAGCCAAATATCACCTGCAGCAACGAGACGGATTGTACCGAGCATATAGTCTGCGAATGCGACGCTCTAGTCAAAAGCAAACTAACACCTCGTGGACAGGTATCTAGAACCCCAGAAAATAAATCATGCCCGACCAGAGCGGGTCTGCGCACTTTGCATTTTTTTAAGCTGCGGGCTCCTAAGGTAATGCAGGGCTCCACCAAAAGGCGGTTTGCACAATGGGCCGTATGTATGCCTACGTGCTGCATTTAGATGCTTCCCTTTAAATCAAATTAAATCAAATCCTATTTAAAAATACCAGTTAATGACCAATGACAAAGAACAGATACAATTTATTCTTCGCCTAGTCGCAAATCACCGAAAACAGTTTTTTGGGTCTTTAAAATCATCTCTTATGTTGTTGATTTGTGATTTTAGTGATTTATAGGTATTATTAATTTTCCTAATATAAGTACTTTTAATTATGACAACCTCTAAATATTATCTGATTAAAAAAAAAAATGTGTAAAGGTACTTCCAATATTTAGATGTCATAAAATAAAATAACTTGAGGATGCAAAATTTTTAAACAAATTTTAAGTTTAAACAATTTCCATACATTATGGTTTAATAAAATTATTTATGGTAAAACTTTAAACAGAAATAAAAGCAAATCGTATACAAATTTTTTTTCAAAGATAAAACTTTAATTATAATTATTATTCGTATTATTTATTTTTTTATTATATTTTAGGGTTAAACTTAACTTAAAACGATATTATTTTAAAACATCCAGTATTTTCTTAGTACTACTACCTTATTATTTATTAGTTTTCTTACTTGTAGGAAAAAAATATATTTAATATTAAAACAAAATTTATTTAAAGTAATTCTACACACAATTATTTAATATAATTTAGTTTATAAAAATATATATCGATGACTTTTTGCCAAAGTATCGCAAGCAACATTACCCAAATTTCGGAAATTGAAAACATTTTGCTTTTCTGTTTTAAATTAAATATAGCCTAAAGGTTTTATAACAAGTAATTACTTAGCTTATAATTATAGCTATTTACTTGTTATAAAATATATAGGTTATATATGGTTTAAAACAGACTTTCAAACAAAAAATGTTTTTAATTCCCGAAATTTGAGTTATGTTGCTTGCGATACTTTGGCAGAAAGTAATCGATATAATTGTACACACAATAGTAAACACAATTAATTATTATAATTTAGTTTATAAAAACCCTTAAATGCTGTTTTAAGGAAGTTTTTTATTTAATGTTTAATAATTATTATATATTTAATTTTTTTTAGGCTTGGTGCTCCATATTTAATAAGAGTTCCTAAACCGCCAGGAAAATTGTTACGTGGTAACGACAGGTTTGAGGGTTATGCTGTAGACTTAATGCATAAAATATGCGGGTATCTAAACTGTAGCTTTACTTTTGAAGTTGTAGAAGATGGCTCTTATGGAAACTACAACCCAGAAAAGAAAGAATGGAATGGATTGATAAGACAACTTTTAGATAGGGTAAATTTGTTTTGAAGTAATAGTTAGTTAAAGTTTAAGATATAAAATTAATTAAAATTTGTACAAGATAAACAGTAAAATCGCTTAAATTCTTGTTGAAAACCAAAACTGCAAGTAAATTAAGCTGCAAAGGCAGTTGTTTTCTAATTAAATTAAAAAGGTTTTTAAAATATTTCTAAACCTAATTAATGTACAAGAAAATTATTAAAAACAAACTTTGATCAACGCCAATCTTAAAAAATTAGGATTTTAATAGTTTTGGTGCAATTTTTATTAAATATAGTACATTACCTTGAAACCTTAAAGTTTATATTTCAAAAGGATTTAATATATTCAGATATTATATTTTTATTACGTAGAGTAAAACCGTTTAAATAAGGTATCACTTTCACTATCATGTAAACTTGGTTTCTGCTGATATTACCTCATTTGGAAACAAAAAATCGACTCACCCCTATTCTTTTTAAGAGCAGGTTTATAATAAAGACGAAAACACTTAATTATGCAAATATGAGGAAAAAAATAGTTTGCACGTAAAACCAATATTCGATGCCATTGATTAAGCTGGCACTCAAAGCGAAACTTTGCTTAATAATAAACTAAACAATGTAAATTTTACTCTGTTTAGATAATTGGATATTTCACTTAGAGAAATTAGATTTATTTAATTATTAAAATTATCTCTACTTTTATAAAATATTTCTTGCGTTTTTTTTTAAATTTTATGTATAGCCTAATAAAAGAAGAATATTTTTCACAATTTTGATGCTAAATATTTTATAAAAAAATATCTTCAATTTTTTTTTATAAAAACAGTTTTGTAATGAGTGCGTTTCGCGTGCTTGAAATGGCTGATCTGTCAAAATTTTTCATGGGAGGGAAATTGTGTTCAACTGAATTCTAGGAAAAATTTCAGCTTCCTCTTGTTTATTTATGGGAGGCGCTCTGATAACACTGGTCTGGAATCTGCTAGTCACCTACTTAAGCAACAAATATTTAAAAAGAACAAGAAGCAAATTATTTAACAACAATCTTTTTTTCGTTTTACAATACAACTTAATTATATAAAATGATTTTTAAGTGGTGTCATTTGAAACCACAGCCTTCAATCGGTACGCAGTTGTTTTGGTGAAGGCAAATGTATATTACAGAATATATTTCCCATAAAAATAAAATTGCTCACCGTGTATTTTTTCGAATTTTATATTAACCATCCACAAACTCGCCCTATATTTATTTTATAAAATTGTTGTTTTAAAAGTATTTTAAATATTTTTGTGTTTACATTTATTTAATGAAAGAAAATGTAAAGAAAGGACCCAAAGAGTAATAAAATTAAATTGCAAATTAAATTTAATTTGAAGCGCAAACTCATCTTATATATTTATTGTTGAACAAAACAACTTTAGTGCAATGATTGTGATTATTTAATTACTTATTGTGAAATCTTCGGGTGTCCCCAGTTGCATTGCATTAGACCAAATTGCATCTATTCCTGTTTTATTTTGTTTGAAACAGCTATAATGAAAATTCGCAGCTCTGATTTCCCTCGAGCATTTTTTGGAAATCAATTATGATCTGCCGAGATTAAATAAATTTGTTTGTGTTTTTATCTAATTGTCTTGCTTTATACGCTTCTATTTTCCCAATTTGAAAAGTTCATTAATAAATTTGGTTTTTAACAGTTAATACGCTTTGTTTACTACGAATCCAATAATTTAAAATATTTTAGTTGTAAAGCAATAATATTGCCTCAATATAAACTACTCAAAACGAATTAAGGACCACTTTTAAACTTGTTTATAACTTTTATTCAAAAACTTTTTTTTACATTCTCTAACTGCTATTAGTTCTGAAAAACATTAGGGTTTTAAATGGAGTATATATTTTATAAATCAAATAAAAAATAAACGCTTGGAAATTAAAACTTTAATTTTTCACAAATGTTTTTTTTTTAAATAAACAATAAATAATATTTTCAACAAAATTAGTAATATGTGTGTCCTCCTCTGGCTAGCCGAACTTCTTCACATTGTCTAGGCATCGATTCCACAAAATTTCTGATTACTTCTCTGGGAATATTGTTCCATTCCTCTTGAAGCATTTCTCCAAGCTGTTCCAAATTTTATGGTGCCGGACGATCCCTTATCCTTCTCTGAAGAACATCCCAGAGATGCTCAATAGGATTTAGATTCGGGCAGTTTGCGGGCCACTCTAAAACCTCGATATTATTCTCCTCAAGATATTGTGTGACAATACGAGCAGTGTGGGGCCTCGCATTGTCATGCTGTAGAATAAACTGTGGACCTTCTTCTGCGGCAAATGGGACTATATAGGGTTCTACAATAGCTTCCAAATACCTATGAGCATTTACCACACCATCCCTACAGATATGCAAACCTGTACGCCCCGTTAAAGTTATACCTCCCCAGACCATAAGTGAGCCACCTCCAAAGTGAACAGTTTCTGTTACAGTTGAATCTAAATAACGCTCACCTCTACGCCTCCATGCTCGTACACGTGCATCGTTGTGGCTAAGTCGAAATCTAGACTCATCTGAAAAGAGCACGTGTCCCCACTGATCCATATCCCAATTGATATGATTTCGAGAAAAAGTTAATCGAGCTCTTCGGTGCGCACGGGTTAACTGGGGCCTAACAGCTCGGACTCTGGAACGTAGATGGGCTTCATGAAGTCTATTTCTAACTGTCTGAGTGGATATTCGCCTTTCGCTGGCGTAAAAATGTAAATCAGCAATGTTTCTTGCTGTTCTGGCTCGGTTTTGGGTGGTAATCTTACCAAATTACGGTCCTCACGTGGGTTTGTGACTCGTTCTCTTGCCGGATAAGGTCTTCTAGTGATAAAACCAAATTCTCTATGTCTGTTAAGAAGTCTAGAAATTACCGAATGACTTGTTTGAAGTCTTCGGGCAATACTTCTAACCGAATGTCCTTCTTGAAATAAATTAACCGCTGTCACTACTTCAACCTGATTTAAATGCCTCCTTTGATGAAGAGGCCTTCCTAGAGCATCAACATTCATTTTAATTAATTATTGAACTTATCACAATGCACAACAACGACTAAAATGACTTACAATAAATGTTAAAATGCACTGTTTTTTAAACAAATCGCATTTCTACAAAAAGTTATGAAAACAAAAAATGTTTGTTTACATAAAATAAATTATACATAATATGAGTACAAGCCTATAAAAATATACGAGGGTTGCTTAAAAGTTAAAAAAGATACATGTATTTTTAAAAGTGGTCCTTAATTCGTTTTGAGTAGTACAAAGTAAGCTTTATTTATTCTTCGATAATCAAAAGATCACTCAATCCTTTACAATATGAAGCACCCTAATATATGTATATATATGTATACAGTGCTCAACAATTGATAAGGATCACAAGTATTTGTTGCATTTTTTTTTGTAAAAAAAAGTCAACAATGCCAAAATATGTAAATTTATTTAAATAACGTAAAATAAATTTTATTCTTAAAAATGTTTTTACTCTAAAAATTGTGAAAAAAATACAACCAAAAAAACTAATATCTAGTTGGTCCACCCCGAGCACGAATAAGGCTTTGAACTCTAGCAATCTTGAGGTAAATTTATCCAAATTCCTCTTATAACTCTACCTAACTGTTCTAGCGACATGTTCTATGCAGTTCATGTCTGGTGACCGGGCTGGCCACTCCATTCTATTAATATCGTGATATTCTAAACGTTCGTTTACAATGCGGGCACGATGAGGAAGCACATTATCATCAACTAAAATGAAATTCTCGCCGATTGCACCCGCATGCGGAAACGGAACAATAATTGGTTCAACAACGATATCTCGATATCTCTGAGAGTTCATTGTGGTATCGATCAAAACCACCAAGTCAGTGCGCCCGTTCAAACAAATTCCACCCCAAACGCAGATGGAGCCTCCTCCAAAAGCAGGGACTGGAACCCTAAAACGTTCATTATATCTTTCACCTCGTTCTCTCCAGACCAAAATACGTCCATCGGAATTACACAGACAAAATATGGACTCATCCGTGAATAAACAACTTCTCCATTCGTTAATTGTCCAGTTGCGGTGTTCCTCGGCCCACTGCCGTCTCGCTACCCTGTGTTCCCTAGTTAATTGTGGGTGTGGTGCACGTCTTCTGGCATGTAAACCAGTCATGTGCAGCCTTCTTCTAACTGTTTGGTTGGAAATTATAGTGTTAGTAGCGTTACGCAGAAATCTATTAATACGAGAAGCAGGATAGGTTGGGTTCCGCCTTGCAGTTATTCGTAAATATCGATCCTCGGCAGGAGTTGTACTGAGTTGTCGCCCTCCACCATGAACATATGATGCTGTACCATTCGTCACAAAGCGATTCCATGCACGACTTACAAAACTTTGCGTAAAACCTATACGTTCAGCTACTTCACGTTGCGGTAGCCCACTTTGGATCCATTCTATAATTTGTTCCATGTGAGCGGGCTGTAAACGCCTTCTCCTTTATAAATTTTATTAAACTACCGCAAGAAAACAAGGTTAAAACGAACTATAAACAACAAAGAACCAAAACAATTTTATTTGATATTTCCATGTGTTCCAAATTTCAGCTGGCATTAAAGCTAAAATAGTTTAATAACAAATATTATTATTTTCCTGTGTTATTTTAATGGAAGCTCTTAAAATTTACTGAATAACACTGAATTTTTATTTCGACATAATTTAAGAAAAAAATAATACCCATCTAAAACCTAACCACCAATTACTTTTTCATAGAGATCTAACTTTTTTAAAAAGTGACGGACAATTTAATACCCTGCCATAGAACAATCAAGCGATCGACGCCGAATTAACGAGACGCCGTTCTAATCGATAGCCATTGTTTCAGAAAGCTGATCTGGCTGTTTGCGACTTAACCATCACTTACGAGCGCCGTAAGGCAGTCGACTTTACAATGCCGTTCATGACACTAGGTGAGTTTTCCTTTTTTTAGGTGTTTTCTCTACGGTGGGCCTGAAAATATTTGTCAAAGACAATAATCAATATTATACAGAAAATATATTATAAGTCATCGGATATTTTAAGATTGCTTATTCATACATAATAGGTATAGAGCTGAAGAAGAACACTGGGATATTTTGTTCACGTAAATTTATCATCAAATAGCAGATAGCGTTATTAATAAATACAATATTAAACAAAATATAAATTAAACCACCACTTTAGACCTGACAAAATAAGTTTCATGCAATAAATGTGAGATACGAAATTTAAACATCCCATGACAAGTAAAAAAATTATTTAGAAACACAAATTTAAAGCAATAAATTTATGTGCTGCGAACGTGACATTTTTTAACTACAGAATTGCAGTACTAAAATGCAATTTCAAATAAAATAAATAAAAGTCTAATTTTGTTTCATGTTAGTTACGGTCTAATAATATGAGAACATTTTACCATTTTTGAGTTGTTTTGTTAGCAAACATGTCTAAAATGTATATGCAAAGGATGTTTTGTCTGTTCTCATCTGTCGCATGTGTTTTGGTAGGAGCGAGTTTAAAGGTATTTAAAAAATGGTTGGCATTATATTTTGTTATAAGAATTAAATAAAGGCAGCAGTTTTTAAAAATATCTGTACTTTTATTAAAACAAGGATATAAGCATTTTAACAAAAGACGTTGAAAATAATGAAAGCGCTGGAATTTGTAAATAAAATAAACCCCAAAGAAGCATCGGAATTTCGCAACGCGCGCGCCATCTGGTGGGGTTCTATAGCATTTTGTGAACTCAAGAATTTTCAACAATACATCATTTTTAAATAAATAAGTCGTTTTTTTCATAAAAGAGAGAAAGGCAGAAATTTTACTCAACACATTGTGTTAAGTTGCAAGTAAAAATTAAAAAAAAATCTGTGGTTTTGTACTCGATTTTGATTTAATATTCCTTATATCATTGATTAAGAAACTCAACGCTTATATGCTTATATAGTTACGTTGGTTTGTGTATTTTATATAAGTAATTATGGTGCATTATTGTGTTTTTAATTGTAAATAAAATTCAAGAACTACATCGTTACATTTTTATGTTTTGATAAAGGATCCATTTCGGTACGTAAATTTGTTGGTGCAGAATTGGTGCAGCATTTAGCATTATTAAAAGCGTTGATTAAGAAAGTCTCCACTCAACAATAAATACCAAGATCCGGTATTATATTCTGTATTATATATAATTTGTTGTATAAAATGTAGTTTTAGGCGTTTTTTAGGACTTAAAGAAGGACCTAAATATAAAAATATTCAATTTTAAGATTATGTTTGTACAACAATTATTTTTTGTTAGATTTTAAACAATGTCCAAACTTAAATATAAATTAAAATAGGTAAAGTTATCATTATTTAATTCTGCACCAAAGAATATAAGTACCGAATTGGATCATTTGGCAAAACATGAATTTATTTTAGTTATTGAATTTTATTTTTAATTAAAAACACAATAATTCATCATGATCACTTAGATAAAATACACACACTAACGTAACTTTATAAGTATATAAGCGTTAAAAATCATATATTATATCACGAGAACTATGAATTTAATCGGTTAAACTAGGCTCAGTAGTTTTTTGTTTGGTTTTTGTTGGAAAATGTTGAATAAAAAATAATTTAATAAAATCACGAGACCGCGTAGCGGTCGAGGGGTTTTATTTTTAATTATTTTGCATGAAACTATTTTCCAAAAAGAAAAATCAAATAAAAAACTTACTGAGCATAGTTTGACAGATTAAATTTATAGGTTAAGTGATATACGTCTAGATTATTTCTCGAATTAAAGGAAACTATTTGACAATTCATAAAATCTGAAGTATGTGTCAAAATTTATAAATATTTTTTTAAAGAAAATTCCATTAATTTAAGGTATGTAATAAGTAATAATTGATATTTCGTAAACTAGATAACTTATTTATTGTTTTTTAAAAAATGTTTGTTAAAACTTGTAAATAACACCATAAAATCGTAAACAAAAATCCAATTGGAGGCTAAAATTGTATCCCTTATTTAAACGAAATTTATTCGAAAATTCAAGGCTTTTGATTGGTTCTTATTATAATGAGGGAAATAATCAATGATAAAAGGAATAATAAATCGAAATCGAGTACTAAACCAAAGTTTTTTAGTTTTTACTTGTAATGCGAAATACAAATAACGCGATTAAGCTGTGCAATCGAAAAAAATTTTTCGACTTGGACTTCTGCCTTCCTCTCTTCAGTGAAAAAACTACCTTAATCGGGCGTATGGCCCGGCCAGGCGACAAAATTCCAAGAGTCTTCACCATCGACACTGTCATCAACGATCTCCTAGGAAAGATTTACCTGTCGGGGTGAAAATTTGGATCCACCAAACACAGGTAACGCTGTGCAGTGGCGGGATACGTAGGAGAACCGAAAGGGGGTAAAATACCCTAAAAGATCAGTGTAAGGCGTTGCCGATGGGGCCTGCCATACTTTCTTATACTCATACTCATTATAGAGACTTCTGGATTATCCGAATATTTAAAAAAAATTGTTAGCAGGTGACTTTAATATAAAAAACTGTGCCTTAAAACAAAGCTTTGTGAATCTACTAAAGTCATATAATCTATTTCAAACAATATTTGAGAACACTCGTATAACGGTTAACGCAACTTTTAAATTTATGGATTACGGTTAGTATTAAGTGTTCAAAAAAACTTATAAACAAATACAAGGTGAATCCACAAAATTTGCAAATTACTTAATAAATGTGGTTTCAAATCTATTGGAAACCAATAAAATAAATTGTAATTTTAAGTGTGATACTATTAAATATAACAAATCTATGTTTCTTAAACCAGGTACTCACTTGAAATTTTATAAATTATGTGTTCACTATAAATTTTACCCTGTTTTCTACATTGTAAACAACTCTATACAATTTGGTATTTTTCCTGAACGACTTAAAGTCTGGTTAATTAAACCTCTGTATAAAAGATCAGATTAGATAGCCTATTATTTGTTTCCATCATTTTCTAAAATATTCTAGCTTTTAATGACAAACCGTTTATTGGATTTTTTTAATACGTTCAAATTATTTAATGCTTGCCAACATGGATATTTGAGGGGTAGGTGTACGACTTTGTTCAAGAGATATCAGGTTTTGACAGAAAGGAACATTGTATGACCTGTCAAAGGCTTATGACTGTTATAATCATAAAATTCTTTTAGGAAAACTTGAAACATATGGGGTAAGAGGAAGTGCACTTTTGTGGATACAGTCCTACCTCTCAAATAAAACCCAAAAAGTAGTAATAGAGAAGGATGGTCAGTAAACTAGTTCTGTCACGCAAAATTCTTCCCAAAGAATAATAAACTTTGCGGACGATACAAATTTATTAGTGAAGTCATCAAAGTATAACACTACCTATGGAGCTGTTATATCTAATATTAAAAAATAGTTTAAAAACAACATGCTTATACTAAATAAAAATAAAACAAATTGCATATATTTTAAGACCAAACGTTCAACATTTCAAGTCCTAATGAAATTTAATGTAAAAGTTAAAAACAAATAAAAATACGAAATTTCCGGGCTTTCAAATAGATGAAAACTTTTATTTTTATTATCACATTGATTGATTGATTGCTTAAACAAAGTTTTGCGTACAATGTTGTGATTAGGACAAATGGTACATGTAATAATTTAACATTTTAAAAATATTAAAATTCTAATTGTAAGTGGCCTTTATGTGTATGAACTATTACTGTATATTTTTAAAAACAAACACATATTTGAGAAATATAGGGCAGAAATTTTAAGAAATGTGTACTATTACTATCTACATGATATACTTTCAACGTTTGCTTATATGCATTTTAATTTTAATTTAAAAATGTCGCATAAAAACATTAAAAATTTTACCAAAAAATATTAAAAATATTTTAGTTTGTTTGAAAGTACTGTCTATGATTGGATTTGTAATTTAGAGCCTTCGACATATAATGATATATATGTTTCCTCTTTTATTTGACATGTTTCCTTTCTGTACATACTGTATTTGTTTCTTTTCTAATCACACTGTGTATGCACATTTTATAAATAAAGATTATTATTATTATTATTATTATTATTAGTTAGTCAGTTACAACCTTTTTAACTATTTAAAACCCGATTGTTTCAAATCACTGTGAATATTGAAATCTGCCAATCACTGATGTCTAACAACGTAAATAATAAGTTTATTATTCCAGTTGTCAGGTGGGGCGTTTTTAAGATAACCATTATATATGAAAAACCCCAAATTATATTAATAATATACAATAGAAAAAATAATGATTAAAGTTAAAATGAAAAACTATTTCATGTAAAATTCATCACATTTCTGTGACATACCCTACATACGCTGTTAAAAGATAAATAATATAAAAAAATAGTAATTGGGTTCTTTGTATATAACGTTACCAAATTAATTTCTACAATAAAGTGTATTTATTTTCGAGCCCACTGTGTATCTGGCGCGTTATGCTTTAGACTTGTTAAATCAATTACACGATCATCTCCCTGGCTTCGACAAGATTCTCTAATCCCTTTAGGAAGGCAGAAAAAGAAACATTTTATAGTTGTAAAGGTGTTTTTACATGCATTGTAATCCAATCGTTTGAATTGAATTTCTAGAGATTTTAACCCCGGTGCATTCGCCATTTTTGACAATATTAACAGAAAGTACCTATTTAAAATTTAATTTATCTGAAATCGGCAGTAAAGTGTTCAACAATCGGCAGTAAAGTAGAATTTAACTGCCGATTTAATATGAGTATAATACTATGCAACCAATTATACATTTTAAGATGTGTCTACTGCTCCTCAGCACCAACTAAATAATATTTAAAAAAAACACCGTCGCGGGAAATGATGTTCAATAAAAATAATAATAATTAATTAGATTAAAAAAAACGCCGCG